ACACTTTCCAGAGGCAGGCCCATTAAGCACATTACAGTGACACTTTAGCCACTATAGACATTTCACGGAACAGGACCAGCTGGTTCTCTAGTTTTCCACTGTGTAGATGCACTCACAGCATCTAAAACGTGGGCCTCCAGGTATGCCCAGGCTGCCAACTTGAGTTTTCAGGGGATCTTTCACCTTCCTTTAAAAATGCATATAAGACAGGTTATCATTATTCTGCCTGTGGGGTTGAAGGGGAATGCAACTCAGAAACAGATATCAAACCAAATGTTTACATTGGGACATTGAAAAAAGTATATAATAGTATCCTTTCAAGGGAGGCTTTACCTCACAAGGGATTGTGAAGTAAGAGATGGGATGTTTTGTCAAATATTTCTCATTCATAGCAGAAGTGCAACAACATTGTCACAAATGACGTGTCAGAGTGGTTATCTCTAGTAAACTTTTGGAGAGAGTGTATACCACTTGTATTGACGCCCAGTTGATCTAAGCAGAAATTTAAAGAGAGGGCAGGGTTCTGTTGTTGATGTTGCAGCTTTGGGAGAAGATGAGATAGATAGCTGGTTTCTTACCAAGATTTGGATCTAGGGCAGCCGGCCCACCCTCCCACTGGGAGAAGTGAACAAGGAGTTTGTGGAGTACACAGAGCAGAAATGGCTCCTATTGACAGAAAGCAGCTGCAGGTCAAACTTTTCACTGCCTTTCCTGGTTTGCTATCTCCAATAAAGTGATGTGATGGAAGGGTCTGTAGAAGGAAAGCACAATAAGATGGTGGTGCCTCCCCTTAACCGTCCAAGTTACAGCTTTTGTAGCAGTGGGCTTTTACAAGCATGTGGAGCAGGATGTGCCCTAAGACACATTCGGATCTTGTTCAGTTCTGACACTTTGGGGGAAGCAGCAGGAGGGGGGGCTGAGGGATAGAGAAATATGCCATTTATAATGGCAAATAGTGCAGTTCCCCATCAAAGTAGGATCAAGTTGGACAAACAGTGCGTGGGCACATTTACAGAGTAATAGTCACCATTTATAAAATTTCTGGCAAATAGGCGGTTTGTGGGAGTTTAATGTTTGGACTGGGTAAACACTCTTAATATAACATGTTACTGGCCTCTTCCCAAAATAATGGCCGTTGCCCAACCCACTTCATTCAGCACATTCTACTTTGAAAAAGAATGCCTTATTTGAAAAGCTTTACACGGGTATATTTTCTTATATCTTCCCTTGGTATATTTCATCAGCAACCATCCTATTCGCCAGGACAAAATATGCATTCATACATATCTTTTGAAAAATTAGCATAGTTAAAGAGGTCTGACTTTTTGTGTACAACAGAGAAAACCATCAGCAAACCTGGATGCATTTTTGTTTTGTTTTTTTAAATGGAGCTAAGGATGAATTAGATTTTCTTCAAAACCTTTTTTATTTCAATTTTTGAATGGGCACGGTGCTTTTTTCCCTTCAAACTGTACATTTGGGACAGATTGCCTAATTTATCAACACACACGGCCAAGGTAAAGGTATTTTTATTTTTATTTTGCTTGTTTTTTGTTTTGTTGCAGCAAGCGGGTTGTTGGCTCAGAGAGTTTACTTATGGTAGCATCATGATCAGGCTGAGTCAGCAAGTATTTTTCTGAACAGAAGTATGTTTCTGAATACCCACTAGGAGTTACTTCTAATATCCCAGTTATCTAAGATACCTGTTGGTACCTTGAAGTCTGTTACTGAAATGGCAGGTCCTCTGATCCTCTCTGGTTTCTCTTGTCTTCATCTGCATCTTCCCCCCTCCTTTTTTTTTAAATTACTTTTTCTGAATGAGAGGAGCTCATGCCACATTCCTGAATGAGACAAAAGTTATGCATTTCATCATTATGGCAAACCTGGCTGGAGAATTATGAGGATTGCAAGCCAACACATCTGGAGGGCATCAGATTGGGAAAGGCTGAGCCCATTCATTACTATCTGTTATCTACCCTCTTTGTCTGCCTTGTTCAAATGATCTCAGTTTCAAGCTGTTCAAGCAGAGGAAAATCGATAGCGGTCTACATTTTTTTTTTTTTTGTCAGTAACAGTGAAATAGAGGTACCTGTAGTCTATGGAAAAGTTTCTTGTTACTTGCCATCAAGTTGAATCCCTTTTAGAGTAACTCTAATAGGATTTTCAAGGTATGTCAGATATTTATCCCAAACCTTTAAATTTAAAGCACAGTATGAAAGAATTCTTCTATAAAATGTATACAGAAAAAGTTAATTATGAAAGGGGTATCTAAAAGGAAACACTATTGGATGCCTGCATGGAGCAGTGGGTTGGACTTGATGGTCTTATAGGCCTCTTCCCACTCAATTATTCTATGATTCTATGAGCAGTATACCTGCACATTCACTTTAGAGCACTGTGTCAAAAGGCATTCTTTGGGTTAGAGAAGTGGTTTCCAACCTCGAGTCCCCAGATGTTCTTGGATTATAACTCCCAGAAATCCTGGCCAGCGCAGTTAGTAGTGAAGCCTTCTGGGAGTTATAGTCCAAGAACATCTTAGGACCCAAAATTGGGAACCACAGGTTTAGTGGAAAACCAGATTATCTCTTAGCAGCATATGGTAATTTATTCTTTCAGTAAAATCAAAGCTGTGCCCAAGGAGATTATCCTGTTTTACTCATGGTAAGGCTGAGGTCTGTAAGTTTAAATGAACATGAGGACTGGAATTTATACACTGTGATCTATTTATCTATTAGGAAGGACTTTTAATCTTTTCTCCACTGTTCTTCCTCAAATCCTTAATGTGAACAATTGATTTTAGTCCTGTGGAACATAAAAAGGAAATGCTAAGAGAATAAAATGCAGGAAGAGGTGACACCTTTATTGGACCATTAAGAAAATAAAACCAAAAAAAGAGAGTGAGCTTTCAATGATAATTCATCTTCCTCAGGTTGTATACCAATTTTTTGTGGGTATCTCCAAAATTATTTGTTCATATCAAAGTCCCAAAAGTTTCATGGCTGCTATTGGGCACCATGATGGAGATAGCTGTAGTCTGCAATCACTGATTGTCCTGATTTTTTTTTGGGGGGGGGGGAATAAAATGAAATTCTTAGTCACAACTAGAATAGACCCATTATATCAGTATAAATGGAAGACCCATTCATTTAGTGAATCTACTCTACTTGGAACTAAGAATTAGATTTAATGCTATACTTTAAGTTCCATGTCATAGACTATGAAACTGGAAAACATACCTCTTTGTCTTTTGCCTACTCTCTGACATTAAATAAAGAGCCACCCCAAATATTTGAAGAAAGCTCGATGGTGATTTGTGCTTCCTCTCTCAACATGCTTCCCGGCGTTGTCCAAGGGGGAATACGTACATCAACAAACACAGGCAGCCTTGAGAAATGTGGTAGAAAATGCTGGGGTTCTAAAAATTTATTTATAGAAGCACTCCAAATTACCTAATGCTTTTTCATGGTCTGCACCAGAGGTAATTAAAAATAAATTTAATGAACAATTCAACATACAGTTTGAAACACTAGGATTTGATGTAGCCACGTCGTGCTACATTTGAAAACGAAATGTGTTGTAATGTCTTACACATTTAGACTTTAAACAAAGAATGGAAAAAATAGAAGGAGAGAGAGGGTTAGAGGAAGCACAATTTTCTCAATATTTTTATAAATTCTGTGAGGTGAAGGCTTTGCGTGGGGCATGTGTGCAGAACTATATTTTATTTAATTAGTTATTTACTTACATACTCATTGTACGTAGTATTCCAAGTGTGGTCAAATCATAGGTTTGTACAAAGGATAATATAACACTGACAGTTTTAATTTCTGTTCATTTTCTGATTATGTCCAGCATGATTAACCTGGACAAAAGTTCATGAAAAGTTCCCTTTCCACTCATGGTTCTTTGGATTGAAGCACAGGTGTATATCAAGGTGTCTTGCTTATTCTTTCTAATAGAAAAATGCTTCGGTAAGGTGGTACAGTTTTATAAAATACCAATACACAATGATGTTGTTTGCAATGATCTTTTTGATTTAGTTCTATTTGAAAGAGTTTATGCAATTTCACATGACTTTCTGTGCATTAATCAAACAGCCAGTTTTTTAAAAAAGTAGTTTGCTTGCTGGTCAGATTATTGATGTGGCTTTTCTGTCCCAAGTGAAATGTATATCTCCAGAAATATGTGCACCTCTTGCTTTGGCTAACAAGAAGTATGGGGGAAAGTAGATGAAGTTATTCATAAAGAATGACTGCTTTATTTTACTTCCTTCAATCATCCAAAGAAGCTGAAAAGTGTATGGTAGTAATTTCGTGGGGATGATAATTTTGTTTTCTAAAAACATGCTTGTGAATACACTGTGACACACTGGAAGCATGTTGGAGATGAAAACAATTGTCTCTTTTTGTTGCTGTCTAATCAATTTTACTTATACTGAATTATGGCACCCTAACTGCATTTTTGAGGTGGAAAATATTTGAGGAATAGTTCACCACTGCCACCACTAAGTGAGTTTCCGTGGTCAAGCTGAGATTTGAACCCAGTTCTTCAGAGCCCTAGTCTGGCACTTGATCCACCACACTGCATTGACTCTTAGTTTTCTCTTTAGTAGGGTCAACCCTAGCTCAAATTGTCTCTCAAAAAAATTTTGCAGGTCAGATAATATGGGTCTTTCTTTCCAAGGGGACAGGTTCACATTTGCCCGAGAACCAGAGGTACTGTCCAGCCAAACTTAAGTACTTCTAAGTCCTAGTGGGGTGAATGATAGAGATTTAAGTGTTTATAGATGCATATATTTAACTTCTGCCACATATGGTGGAAAGTGAGATGTATGTTTTAAAGCAAATAATGAACTTTATGGGACTAGAAATGGTTTTGAATTGCATCTCATATTTCTTGTCCCTTAACAAAACTCACAACAGCTGCTACAAATTGAGCACTATGTACAGATTGTCACTGCTGGTCTTCTTATTTTCAATTCTCTTTTCCTTTTGTTGCAGAGGTTGAAGGCAGCATTGACTCATCATCCTGCAGGCATGTCAAATGGAAACATGAACACCATGGGTCATATGATGGAAATGATGAGCTCCCGACAAGACCAGACAACCCACCATCATATGCACTCGCATCCACATCAGCACCAGACGCTTCCTCCTCATCACCCCTACCCACACCAGCATCAACATCCAGCACACCATCCTCATCCTCAAGCGCATCACCAGCAGAACCACCCACACCACCACTCCCACTCCCACTTGCATGCACACCCAGCACATCATCAGACCTCGCCACATCCTCCACTGCACACAGGCGGGCAAGCACAGGTAGAGTTTTCTCAGTGTTGCTTATGTGTGAATGCAGGTGTAAAAGGACATTATGACATTGTCTTTTGTTGTTCCATAGCATCTCAAAAAGTAACATCAGATGCCAGGGTTCCTAAAAACGGGGCTGCTGAATTTTTTAAAATTAACTATTGTTTGTTTTAATCTTCTAAGCCACGTTGAGACCCCTTCAAGACAAAAGCAGGGTATAAATATTTTAAGGTGCCAAATGACTCTTTGAGGGGACAGACAATGTGATTATCCTCATGGGAATTGTCTTTTATGTGGACTCTAATTCTGTTAGATCCTTTATGGACTGTTGTCATTAATACCGTCATATCATCTAGTTTTCAGTGGGTATGGGAACATATCCACACCCACATTGTATGTCATGAAAAGAGCTTTGTGTCTTATTTTCAGACTTAATGGCATGCCTATATGCCAGAGTTAGATAAGGAGAAGACGTTCATTGACACTGAGAGCTTCTACCAGTTTGTCCAATCTGGAGGCTACAAGAGATGTTTTAGTTCCCCCACCATCAAGCTGAAAGTTTAAGCATGGAATCCTTTGTTCTCCCAAATTAAATACAAATTAATCTGTGCATGCACACAGATGTGCATGTCGGAAACTATATTTTGATGGGGAAAATTCCTAAAAATGCAACTTTAAGGAAAATGCTCCAAAAACTGGATACATTAGAAAAAGGACATCTTGAAATACATACAGATTTATGTGCAGGAATTAAAAGTGAAACCATGATTCAATGCTGAACAAGAATGAAACAAGAATGCATATGGAGCTCTGACAAATCCAATAAAAATAAAACTGAAGGATTCTCACATTCACACTCAGGACGACTCCACTCTTTTTGCAACAGAAATAAAGGTTGGGGGCTGTACCTGTGTTTCCCACTGGGTATTCATTGGTAGCAGTGTCTCAGCAGCAAGAGCGTCTGCTTCACAGATTGTGGAGCTGCTCAAGTCCATGGCTGTGAAATTTCTTAAAACACGTCGTCTTTCACAGATGTTTGAGAGCAGAATTTGACCAGGTCTTTGGTTTGTTTTTATATACCATAGCAACCTGCATGCCCAGTACCATAAAACTTTTAATGGTGAGAACCAGTCAAGTAGGAAAACGTTATTTTTGTTTGAGATGTTTTCAAAGGAAATATTAATGGTGCAACATTCACCAACTTAATGCAGTATCTGGATTGAAATTAATTAATAGCTGGTGGTTTCTATAGTTGAAACCAACTTAAATATAAGGTTAAACATTGTTGATGTCAATGTAAAAAAAAACCCAGCAAACTCATAAAGGTAAAGGTAAAGGTTCCCCTTGACAATTTTTGTCCAGTCGTGTCCGACTCTAGGGGGCGGCGCTCATCCCGCTCTTCAAGCCATAGAGCCAGTGTTTTGTCCGAAGACAATCTTTCTGTGGTCACATGGCCAGTGTGATTTAGACACGGAACGCTGTTTACCTTCCCACCGAGATGGTACCTATTTATCTACTCGCATTTGCATGCTTTCGAACCGCTAGGTTGGCGGGAGCTGGGACAGGCGACGGGAGCTCACTCCGTCGCATGGATTCGATCTTACGGCTGCTTGGTCTTCTGACTCTGCAGCACAGGCTTCTGCGGTTTAGCCCACAGCGCCACCACGTCCCTCTAGAGCAAACTCATAAATATTAATTATTCTGAACCAATGGAACTAGAACAGAAGAAGCAATACATGTAACTTTTGTTGCCTCTTACAGATCTGTCTTACTCCATTGCTGATGTGGAAGAAAATCCCAAGGTTTTCCATAAAATTTATTTCTATATGTATTTGAGGTTGTAGCCTTGGATCACTGTGCCTTCAGAAAAGTATAAATAATAATAACAACAATAACATGCTGTCAGGTCAATTCTGACTTATGGTGAACCTTTTCAGGTTTTTCCAAGTAGACAACACTCAAAAATGGTTTTCCATTCCCTTCTTGTGGGGATGCCCTGGGACTGTGCAGTTTGCCCAAGGACACAGAGGTTGGCTCTCCTTGCAGGAGGCACAGTGGAGAATCGAACTCCCAACCTCTGACTCTGTAGCCATTTACCTAAACCATTGAGCTATCCAGCCAACTCTCAAAAATCAAAGACATATTAATATTCATGTACCAGAGTGTAAAACAAGAGATAGTGACTTTTGCCAAGCAAAGTAAGCCCACTGGTTTTAGTAGAATTGTTCTAATTTTACATGGCTTTTAAAAGAGCTGTTTGTTCAAAAACCCAGAGTGTAAAACAAGAGATAGTGACTTTTGCCAAGCAAAGTAAGCCCACTGGTTTTAGTAGAATTGTTCTAATTTTACAAAAGAGCTGTTTGTTCAAAAATATTGTACAGTTCTGCTTGGAGGATAAATGGAAATTTTTAAGATCTATAGGTCAGGTAGTTCCCTGGACAACAGAACAGTTTGAATTCCTCATGGGAACACGAAAGCAATGACACTTTTTGAAGAGGCCATGGGCTGGGATAAAAGATGGTTTGAGTGAGTAATAAACATAAGGTTATTACTTTCCAAGCCCATCTATAATTCCCCTCAGTATTGGCCTCTTTGGGGGTCAGACTGCTTCAGCAGACACATTAATCTTGTGGTACACTTTACTAATTATTAACCAACTCTTTCTATTGAACCAAATACTTAAGTTTCAAGGTTCACGTCAAAACCAAAGCATGATCTGAATTGCTAGGAACCATGTCCCCCGTTCTGCCACAGTTTTGATTATTTTATGCCATGCCCTTGTATTAAATTTCAAACTTTTCAACAGCCATGCAAAGTCTAATGAATTATCGGTTGCTAAAATGAATGACTAAAAATGTAGCACTACATTATAAAGAATAGAAGGAATAAACTGGATCAGGGATCAAAGCAAAGCCCACTCAATTTTCTATGTCCTGTTTTTTGTATGACAAATGTTCTGCTTTGCCGGCAGCACTGGTTCAGCTATTACACACAAGTTTAGGTTTTTGATTTTTTTAAAAAAATATTGAAACATCCTTTAGATGAATATCCATTCAGAATGTTGACTCAACAAGATTATTTTATGTTACATTTATTATGGATTATAACACACTTGTTAACATTAGTCTTGCAAAGAAACAGTGCTATGTAAGTTACACCACCTGCTCTCTCTGTGTGTTTATAAATAATGACAAATGGAAACAAATTCAAGTGGAAATGTGTGTGTGTATATAATTTTCCATTTAACCTTAGATAGTAGATAGATAGATAGATAGATAGATAGATAGATAGATAGATAGATAGATAGATAGATAGATAGATAGATAGATAGATAGATAGATAGATAGATAGATAGATAGATAGATAGATAGATAGATAGATTTATTTAACTAATTAACTAGCAACATATGTACAATCAAAATATATCAGCATGTTTCAAACAGGACAATAGCTATTTAGTCACCACATTTCTTTATTCTTCTCCAACACTAGATGAAGCCATTCTGCTCAATGTATTCTGCTTATCAATTTAACTGGTGTTACCTGCACAGGAAGATGAGGTGGCAAATTATTAATTTATGGCCCTTGTCTTTGTTTGCTATCTTTTGTTTGTGTCATCCTAGAATAGCCATTCTCAATGTGGGGGCCATGTGACCCCCTGAGGACCCCTGGTATATTTGAAGGGGGCCACAGACTGGATACTTCACACACCACCTTAGAAGGTTCGTTATGTGAATTGGACAATCCTGATTTGGCCTTTGTTTCTTATTATGTTTGTGGCCATGGCCAAAAAAAAAGGTTGAGAATGGTTGTCCTAGAACATGACTGAATAAGAGAAAAGAGCACATTCTCATTTAGAACAGTGGTTCCCAATCTTGGATTCTGAGATGTTCTTGGACTAAAACTTCCAGCAAGCAGTACTACTAACTGTGCTGGCTAGGATTTCTGGGAGCTAATAGTCCAAGAAGCTCTGGAGGCTCAAGGTTGGGAAACACCGATCTAGAATGTAAATAGTCTGTTTAACAAAAGTCATTTGCATAACAAATTCCATTTTTGTTGACTCCAGCTAGTTTAGACATAATCAGAAACAAAATCTTGCCATTATGAGAATGTATATTCATCTGTAAGAACAGCCTGTCGAAAGTTTCTACTCTTCCTTCTTTATAAATGGCAGTTGCCTAGTATGCCCAAACTTGAGGAACTTCCCCCACCACCTCAATAAGTGAACAAACCAGGATAACAAACAAGGTTAGAATCTGATAGTATGCCCAAACTTGAGGAACTTCCCCCCACCACCTCAATAAGTATTTTGTGAACAAACCAGGATAACAAACAAGGTTGAAATCTGGTTTTTGCAAGCCTAAGCTTTATTTACTTTGATTCTCATAACGATTTATCATGTGTCCACAATTCCCACAATGAAGATTGTAATATAGTAAGGTATACTGGCATGTTTTAATGCTGAATTTTGGTAATAACAATATATGCATGTAATTTCCCTATTCACCTTTAAACCAGAGACTGACCAACTATTGTAAAATGGCTGCAAATTACGTATTTCGCCACATAGGATGTAATGGACTTCAGCCTTCAAGTTTCCTGAAATGATTTTATCAGTTAACAAGCCTATTGGATTTTGCACATCATACCATTATGCCAAGAAACTCAGAAGATACTATACTGTGGCTTTCCATTACAGCACTTTGCAGGAACTGACCTGCTTTACTTACAGTAAGAAGAACTGCATCAGATGTCTCTAGCTTTCTAATTAACATCTTCCTGACAGCTACCACATTTGACAGGTGTCCTCACTCCATTCAAAGCAACTTGAGCAATGGGGTTGGTTCTTCTGTATGTATAAGAGAAAGCTAACCTGAGAAGCAGAACTTAAAAATAGAATTTATAGCTTAAATAAAAACAGAGGGAGCAGAAGGGCATGTGCAAAGACGTTGATGCCCAGAAATGTAAACAACAACCCTTTGATGACTCATAAGGTGTTGCTTGTAGCTTTTGAAGTTAAACTGACAGTTTAAAAGAGACCTTTGAGGCCTTAACATTTTGTATGTTGCTGTGGAGGCACCAGATATATCGCTTCTATAGAGGGCATCTGGCATTACTCAACATAACTTTCTCAAGCCAATATAGGGGTGATAGGTTTTAAGGGCCAATTCATACAACTCTGAAAAGAAGTGAGAAAAGGTTGGATCAAGGGTACTTTGGGCCTTTAGGAAAGTAGTCATGTGGTTATTGTTTATTGAGGTCTTGACATCAGTGTGCAAGCAATCATCTTACTGTGTCACCCATATTCACAATCTGGTGTTGCTATGCATGCCAACATTTGACTTTACTGTTTGCCATGAGTTGGGAACCAATAACCATTTGAAAGCAACAGACAGCTGAGAACCAACGAGCAGGGGAAAGCTTTTGTGGTGCCCTGGTAAAATGTTGCTTCTAGGCACAACCATAGTGTTGATATTTCCAGTGTTTAGAGCTGCCTGTGATAACAAAGACAGATATAATGTCATTATAGTTTCCATTTTTTACTCTATATGAAAACCCTGTAAAATGGTCATCAGATTCCAATCAGCTATAGACCCCAATGCTGTTTTTGTCTGATTCACTTCCACGAGAAAACAGATGTATCCCTAAGCTGTTTCTCTAGTTGCCCACATATATTTTCATTATATGCTAACCTTTTAATCAATAGTTCGGAGCTAGCCTCATATGCATACTTACCCAGGCCTAGTGTAATTAGGAGGTTGTCCCATTTTATTTTGAATGCCTCCAGCATTGGAGCACTCAGGAGGTGGTGAGTGCTCCAATGCTGGAGGCATTCAAAATAAAATGGGACAACCATCTCTCAGATAAAATTCAATTTGGATTCCTTCACTGAGCAGGGATTGGACTCATTGGTCCCTTCCAACTCATTCGCCTCTTCCGACTCAATTATTCTATGATTCTATGTTAGAAGATATTTGGAGAATTGCTTGTTTTTGAGAAGTTAGTGTACCAACAAGATTCAGGGAAAATTGTTCTTCCTGATGTCTTTGTCTGATATGGATGTAGGTAATTAGAGGTGGGGATGCTTCCAAAGAGAAATGCTGTGCATACCTTCTGAGTGGTTGCCATTGCCCTCAGGAGTGTACTATAAATGGTTCTGAAACTTGAATATTCTCTTAGTTTACATTACATTTGGGGTGCTTTCAGAATTGTGTGAATCAACCCTAAGAAGAGGGGGGAGAAGATTATAAGAAACTACTTAATTATCCCACTATATTCCCCTTTTTTAAAGTCTTAGATTTATTTCTTGCTCTTATATCCTGACTAATTGGTAATGGTGTGGCTAAAAAATCTTGTAAATAAATAAATAAAAATAAAGCAAATTAGTGGGTTGTTACTTCAGAATATATAGGGACGTGGTGGCACTCTAGGTTAAACCGCAGAAGCCTCTGTGCTGCAAGGTCAGAAGACCAGCAGTCTTAAGATCAGATCCACACGATGGAATGAGCTCCCATCGTTTGTCCAAGCTCCTGCCAACCTAGCAGTTTGAAAGCATGTAAAAATGCAAGTAGATAATTAGGTAGGTAATGGCGTTCCATGTCTAATCATGCTGGCCACATGACCACGGAAACTATCTTCGGACAAATGCTGGCTCTACGGCTTGGAAACGGGGATGAGTTGGACATGACTGAACTAAATGTAAAGGGGAACCTTTACCTTACCTCAGAATAACTCTCCGTGCAAACAAGAACTATCTTTTGAATGCATTTTTAAATTATGAACACAAATAAGGGTTGCAAGCCTCCTTCTGTTTTGTCATTAATACTAATTACTGGAGTGATCTAGATATTTCACACTTTAATTGAGAAATTATGAACACAAATAAGGGTTGCAAGCCTCCTTCTGTTTTGTCATTAATACTAATTACTGGAGTGATCTACTGCTTTGACTGTCACTGAAATGAGATGAAACGTTTTTAATAAGACAGAGGAGGGGAAAAACTTTTCTGCCCTAGCAGCAAAAAGGTCATTCTAAAACAATCTGCTGGTCCACACAGACTGTTAGTCAAAGAGTAATTTAAGGGCATCTGGTGAATTATTTGGACTTCTGCCATTCTCATTATTTAAAGAACACAGTCTGGTCATATTTTATTTTAATTTTTAGTTGCAGGTTATTTCCTCTCAGTATTCCACTGTCAATTATAGTGTCTATTCTTCACCAGTTGCTTAACTAAAAGAAGTGGGTTCTTTTTTGTTTGTTTTCTTTTTGTTTTTGCCTCTTTAGGTATCAACAGCAGCTCAACAAATGCAGCCCACACAAACAATACAGCCTCCTCAGCCCACTGGGGGTCGCCGAAGGAGAGTGGTGGACGAAGACCCAGATGAGAGGCGGCGGAAATTTCTGGAACGAAACCGAGCAGCTGCCACACGCTGCAGACAGAAGAGGAAGGTCTGGGTGATGTCACTGGAAAAGAAAGCAGAAGAACTCACCCAGACAAACATGCAGCTTCAGGTGTGAGGAACTGCCTACCTGTTTAGGACACAGAGGCTGTTTGTGTGCAGGTCTTTGCAGCCCCTCCAAGATCTACTTGACTTTAACTGATGCTCCTGCACATTGGAGTATGGGGGCAAACAGAGAGAATCAGCACATGTGAAATATATCAGATTATTGTTTATGAATACCATCTGCTTTGGGAAACATTAGCTGAGAGCATAAGTAGAGCTAGTCATATTGGCCATGAAATATATTCCCAGAGCTTGACAATGTTTGCATTTCGAAGTTCAAACCCCAATCCAAAGAAGGGACTTTTCCAAGCTCTGCAAATTCTGAAATCCATAAGTGGTGCAGAAATGCACATGAAAGCATGCAAGCATTTGAGGGCACATCTCTTTTTCAGGCAAGGTGTCACATAGCTGGGGACAAAAGGAAAAGGGTTTACAGGAAGCCATAGATTACGAGTTTGATTCCCCACTGTGCCTCCTGGGAGAAAACCCAGCCTGTGTAGCCTTGGGCAAACTGCACAGGCATAGAATGGCCCAAGAGGAAGGAAATGGTAAACCAGTTGTGAGTATTCTCTACTTAGAAAACCCTGGAAATGGATGGAATTGACGTGACAGCACATGATTGTTAATAAAGGTATCAGATAAGAAGAGCATCAGGAAGGAGACATGCACTGAACTATTTAATTGTTTATATTTTATTAGTCACAGCTGCCAGCCTGCTTTCTTTTTCTGATAATAATAATTATTATGTATTTTCAAGCCAATTCTGACCTATGGTGACCTTTTCTAGGATTTTCTGGGAAGAAAGTACTCAGGAGTGATTTACCACTTCCTTTTTCTGGAAGCCCTTGGACTGTGCATCTTGCCTCAGGCTAGACAGGCTGGCTCTTCTCCTAGTAGGCATTGTGGGAATTGCATTCCTAATATCTGGCTCTGCAGCCAGATACCTGAACCACTGAGCAGTGAAGTGATGTCTTAAAAAAGATGTTGAGAGAGGAATGTTCATCATTTAGCCAATCAATGCATACTAGGTATCCAAAGATATCTGATAGTCTTCTGTCTCTATTTTGAGTTCAGAACCATGGGATAAATTATTGGGGATCAAGACATTTTCACCTTTAGATTGTGACCTTTAAGACAGTCCTGTATATACTAACAGTGAAGACACTCTTAGTTTGCCAACCCTTATGTAGCCATCCTTATTTAGCCACGAGAGCAGTAGGTTGGGCTGAATACTAATGCTTGCAGAATATATATATAAGTTTAATACCCCATACAGTGGATTAGGAAGCCAGGGTGGAATGGCATGTCCTTGAATAGGACATGGATGGCTGATTGGAACCTTGAACCTTATTTGCAGGTTCCACCTTGAGGCCTTTAAAGTAGTGCAAACTACCTACTGTACTGCAGTGCCCGGGCAGACAAAACTTGGGGAGGGCAATTCATTTGTAAGTGCTTCCATGATGAATGGTCCCACCGAACTTCTTCTCCTTGACATGCTAGCTTTGCACAGATGGAAGGAATGTAATAAAGGGGACATAGGCCTTCGAAGATGGTACAGTCATCAGAACAAACAGTAGGCAATTCCAGGCTTCTTCGGAAGAATTGCATTTGACATGTGTTAAACATGAGTACAGACCAAGGTCATATGGAACATGTCCTTCAACATATCCTCTTTGCTGGTACCCACATATACAGTGAGCATTTCTTCCATAGGGGAGTCTTTACATATGCATCTCTCTTCATACATTCATCCACACATTCAGGGGCAAGGAAGCCAGATTTGACTACCTCTTTAGTTCTTTTCAAACCAAACCCTCTGTTTTCTGTTTGTCCTCCAACATCCATAGAGGATGAAAGGGCAGCTTTTCAGTTTCTTTTGGGTTTTGGAAGCATTCTTGGGATGCTGTGCATGTACCCCCCCCTCCACACATACTTTTTTTAATTATTATTATTTATTTTTATTTTTTTTTGCTTCTGCTGTTAAGTGAGAAACTGAGCTCTCCTCCAAGTTCTGAGGGCATTCTAGAGAAGTGGGGTTTGAGGTTGCCAGGAAGTCCGTCTTTATCCAACAGGCAGTGAGAGTACAACCACCTTCTCTCACCAGAACATTATTTATACTTTCTGGCAAGCTAGTGGTTACTATTAGAAATGGGCGTGAACCAGCAGTTCGTGCCAGTTCAGCACTTCAGGCACATGGCTGTTCCATGGGTGCCCTGGCTTCCCAGGCCTGGCTCCTCTAGTGCAGACCTGGGCAAAGTGTGGCCTAAGGGCCAGATACGGCCCGCGAGCCACTCCTGTCTGGCCCATCGGTCATCACTCCAGTCCGGTGTTCAGGCACTTGTTCAAGCCCAAGACAGACTGGATTTCTCTCACTGAACAAGTTGAACATCAAAACCATTTATAGCTTTTTGTCTAAAGTTGATCAGTTGCTTATCTTTTATTTTTAAGTAAAGTTGGTTCAGCCCCCAAACAAACACAGCTCAGATTTTTCATGTGGCCCCCTATTTTTGCCCACCCCTGCTCTAGTGGATGCCCACTCAGAGGCAGCAGCATAGTTTCCCACCCCTATAGAAATTAATTGCCCACCCCTTGCCCTCTCAGAGGCAGCAGCATAGTTTCCCTGTCCCACCACCTCCAGGTGCTACCTCTGAGTTTAAGAAGCAAAACATTCTTAATATATTCTTAATATGAAGTATTCTTAATAATTAAATATTTATCTTATCTCCAGTGCTTATATATATTTAGCTGAGCTTCAAGCATGTAGCCTTTAACCATCTCCATCAAGAAACCTGTTCTTGACAGGACATTTGGTAGGTGATTAACTCTTATAGTCACCACACATCAGAAATAGTTTGACGGCACATAACATCTTTGGAGTAATTTTTTTTTAATTGTCAAGCAATTATATAGCAACAAGATGGTTGGAATGGAGACATTAACAGGAGACAATGACAGAATATAGACATAAAGTAAGACCATCCCTAGCTATGAAGCAAAAAACCAGTAATTTCACACCTTAAAGAAGTGAGCTTCTGAATATTGGTTCTATATTCTGTTTTTAATATATTTTTAAATATTTTCATTGTCTCCATTTTGGTACCAGAAACAGAGTTTCCTTTCAAGCATGATTCTGATAAACCTGTTTGGAGTTTAGAAGTTTGCTAAGGATCAGCTAATTGCTAGTAGAAGTTCAGATTGACACAGGCCTGGAGCTGTTTCTCTTTTGAAAACTTCTGTGAGGACACAGTTTGGTGTCAGAAATTCTGAGAAAATGTTTATTTTTAAAAAAGTTTACTTTCTTTAAAGCAAATCCATTTTTTATTTTGCTCATTAAAGAAAACACGTGTTTTCAATCTCTGTGGCCTTTCTTTCTAAATATCTCCCTAAAAATGTATACAGTATTTCATTTCATAAAGCTCCTGTTGGCCAGCCTGTACCACGCATGCTCAGTCTTATTTAAAAAGTGACTACTTTTTCCTTTTGAAAGTTTTTTCCCCTTGAGGACCAATATTTCAGCCCCTGAATCATGGACTCTTTCCAGATAAAAACAGTGGGTGGTACCAAACATTCTTATTCAAGATAAGCAAGATTGGTCTTTTCAATTTACATGATCTGTTTTAATTTCTGAATGGGGGTAAACAGTTTTACTTTTCAAAAATTATAACTCAAAACTCTATTGCCCAAACTTTCCCACATTTGGCAGAGTGCAAAAACAGATTGTATGCTATAACTGTGCCAAACTTGATGCCAATCTGAAGCCCAGTTTAAAAGTTACAAGTTACAGAATTATGCTGGAGTCTTGCAAACTAGCAGCTGTGGATTCCTTTGTTCAGTTAATACCTTCATAAAAAGCCTAGTTAAAAAGTTACAATTTTTCATGCAGTAATGATTCTGCAATCTAATCAGTGCATATCAATGTGCTATTGACCTTTAGGTAAAGAAGAATTAAAACTCTATGGATTTCTCTTTGTTACAAGATTCTTTAAACTTCCTGGCCGATGAAGATTGATATCATAGACAAAAAACTGGAAATGCTTAGTTTAATTTTAAACAAAACAAAAACAATGAACCAGAAAATTTGGCCATCCAATTTATTCAAGCCAAGTAGGCTTGAGAAAACCAGATAGCAACAGTATAACGACAAATTTAAACTATCTATACTGTATGTCTGTCTCTCTATGTATTGATCTTTTCTACTGGTGAATTTTTTCCTGTTGATCATATGGGATGATATCACATGACAAATGTATTAAAGTTCAGCTGTAAATCTGTATTTAATCCTACACTAAATATATGCATGTGCAAGCAAAGGACAGGCAGGCCTGATTCACAACAGCTTTTTATGAATGAATGAATAGATCTAATCTATGATGTATAGCAAATTGAAATTAGTTTTTGAGATTATAAGGACGATATTAGTCAAAGTAGACATTTCTGTTAGCAATCATTTCATGTCTTAGTTCTCTCATTGATTAATTCTGTCTGACTTTATTAACCTAGTCCATTTTGATGAAGAAATATATTTTCAGGCACACTAATGCATCCTTTGTAGCCCACTTTTAAAAGCATAGGCATTGCTCTTAAATTTTTGCTAACTTAGCAGAAGGTCCTCTTCTTTGTATGGAAGTACCTTCTATTCACCCCTTCACAGATTGCTGCATTGATTGTGTAATTCAGAGAAGCTATGGGATATGCCATGCAGGGACACCCAAGACGGACAGGTCATAGTGGAGAGTTCTGACTAAAGGCGATCCACCTGGAGCAGGAACTGGCAAGCCACTCCACTATCTTTGCCAAGAAAACTCCATGGACAGAAACAAAAGGCTAAAAGATATGACACTGGAAAATGAGCCTCTTGGGTCGGAAGGCATCCAAAATGCTACTGAGGAAGAGTAGAGGACAAGTACAAGTAGCTCCAGAGCTAATGAAGTTGTTGGGCCAAAGCCGAAAGGACGCTCATCTGCAGACACACCTGGAAGTGAAAGGAACAGTGCAAAGATATAGAGGAAAATAATAGAAAAGGAAAAAAAACAGAGATCTGTTCAAGAAAATTGGAGCTATTAAAGGAACATTTTGTGCAAATATGGACACGATAAAGGACAAAAATGGTAGGGACCTCACAGCAGCAGAAGATATCAAGAAGAGGTGGCAAGAATTCACAGAGGAATTATACTAGAAAGCTCTGGATGTCCTGGACAACCCAGATAGTGTGGTTGCTGACCTTGAGTCAGACATCCTGGAGAGTGAAGTTAGGTGGGCCTTAGAAAGCATGGCTAACAACAAGGCCAGTGGAGGTGAGGGCATTCCAGTTGAACTATTTAAAATCTTAAAAGATGACATTGTTAAGGTGCTACAATCAATATGCCAGCATGTTTAGAAAACTCAGCAGTGGCCAAAGGATTGGAAAAGATCAGTCTACATCCCAATCCCAAAGAAGGGCACTGCCAAAGAATGCTCCAACTACCGTACAATTGCACTCATTTCACACACTAGCAAGGTTATGCTCAAAATCCTACAAGGCAGACTTCAGCAGTATGTGGACTGAGAACTCCCAGAAGTACAAGCTGGATTTCGAAGGTGCAGAGGAACTAGAGACCAGATTGCTAACATGCACTCGATTATGGAGAAAGCCAGAGTTCCAGAAAAACATGCTTCAATGACTACACAAAAGCCTTTGACTGTGTGGACCACAGCAAACTATGGCAAGTTCTTAAAGAAGTGGGAGTGGCTGACCATGTTATCTATCTCCCGAGAAATCTATATGTGGGACAGGAAGTAACAGTTAGAACTGGATATGGAACAACTGATTGGTTCAAAATTGGGAAAGGAGTACGACAAGGCTGTATATTGTCTCCCTGCTTATTTAACTTATATGCAGAATACATCATGCGAAAGGCTGAACTGGATGAATCCCAAGCTGCAATTAAGATTGCTGAAAGAAATATCAACAACCTCAGATATGCTGATGAATCAACTCTGATGGCAGAAAGTGAGGAGGAATTAAAGAACTTCTTAATGAGCGTGAAAAAGGAGAGCACAAAAATGGTGTGAAGCTCAACATAAAAAGAAAACTAAAATCTTGGCCACTCGTCCCATCACCTCCTGGCAAATAGAAGGGGAAGATATAGAGTCAGTGACAAATTTTACTTTCTTGGGCTCCATGATCACTGCAGATGGTGACAGCAGCCACAAAATTCCTCCCTTCTTGGGAGGAAAGCGGTGACAAATCTCGACAGCATTTTAAAAAGCAGAGACATCACCTTGCTGACAAAGGTCCGCATAGTCAAAGCTATGTTTTTTCCAGTAGCAATGTATGGAAGTGAGAGCTGGACCATAAAGAAGGCTGATCGCTGAATAACTTATGCTATTGAATTGTGGTGCTGCAGGAGACTCTTGATATTTCCCTGGACTGCAAGGAGATCAAACCTCTCGATTCTGAAGAAAATCAACCCTGAGTGCTCACTGGAAGGACAGATCGTGAAGCTGAGGCTTCAATACTTTGGCCATCTCATGTGAAGAGAAGACTCCTTGGAAAAGACCCTGATGTTGGGAAAGTGTGAAGGCGAGGAGAAGGGGACGACAGAGGATGAAATGAATGTGACCAAACTCTGAATTTGACCCAACTCCGGGAGGCAGTGGAAGACAGGAGGGCCTGGCGTGCTCTGGTGGGGTCATGAAGAGTTGGACATGACTTAACGAATAAACAACAACCTTCTGTTCATTGGCTAAAAAGTTAGGATGTGAACCATATAACCTTCTTCTTAATTAAAAATCTTTTGCAATACTGTACCTTATTTCCTCAGCATACTTGTCCCACTCATGAGCCCTTTGGAAAAGATAAAATTATACACAGTATTCATACAACTGTCAGGGGACAAACTGCTCAAGGAGAAGGATATAACATCTTCGTTAGTGCAGTGTTGGTCCTACCATCAGAAAGACTGAGGAATCTGTCATGTCATAAAATGACACTGCATTATTAGTTAATTGCATTTGTATTTCCTGTGAGAGCACATGAGGCATTTTCTAGTGAGATTTTCTCAGATGTCAAACTAACTTGTAAACCTTAGGTACACCACAGGCTTTCACTCAGGGAGAAAGCATCATTTGTTATTCTGCCTCAGGAGGCGAAATATTTTGGGCAGGTGCTGCTTGATATTAGTTAATTGCATTTGTATTCCCTGTGAGAGCACATGAGGCATTTTCCAGTGAGATTTTCTCAGATGTCAAACTAACTTGTAAACCTTAGGGTACACCACAGGCTTTCACTCAGGGAGGAAGCATCGTTTGTTGCTCTGCCTCAGGAGGTGAAATATTTTGGGTGGGTGCTGCTTGATTACCCAGTATTACAAAAAGTGTTTCCTCATCCTGACTCTTCCCTCCCCCCCGCATTCTGTACACAACAGTTTAATACAGTGATTTTTAAAAAGTGAATGGAGCAAATATGGTGGTAGTTTGTAGCAGCTTTGGCCTACGGATGCTGCAGTACTCACTTCGATCAGAGCCTCAGGTCCTAAAAGGGTGCCCCTGAAGAAGATACTCCAAAGCCACGTCTAAGTCCTTTATACCTAAAAAAAATCCCAAGAAGGGTTACATTGAGATGGAATTGACTTGATGGCAGGCAATTATTATTTTAAGTTCTATGCTTGTGCTTTTGTTGCTCATGAACAGCAGGTCATATAATTAAGTTTTTAATTCCATTACAAATCTTTTTTTTTCCTTGCTTGCTATGGAGTTTTGCTTGGTGGAAACAATCCTATTGGAACAAATCTCTCTGATTGTCACAGCTGGAGTTGGGCTATTGAATCAGTGGAATTGGCGTAGGAATTGGTTCAGCTTTCAGCAACTGCTTCAATGTGTCCATTCTAGTTAGGACTAGCTGTTGGACATAGGCTATTAAGACTAGGAAAAATAAGAGGAGTAAAAAATGTTGCTTTTAAAGCCTATTAGAACATGGATTTGTCTCCCTATGGAAAAATGAACTACCTGGAGAATCAATCTTTATGCAACTGTTACATTTGTTATAATGAGGAGCATGTAAACTATCATTGTAAAATAGACAGGTTTTATTAAAATAAAATTCTCTGTTTTCTTTTAGAATGAGGTTTCCATGTTGAAAAACGAGGTTGCACAGCTGAAACAGTTGTTGTTAACACACAAAGACTGCCCAATAACAGCAATGCAGAAAGAATCGCAAGGATACCTAAGTAAGTAGGTAACCTATTTATATACAGTACTCTGTCTTTCCTTTCTTTATCTGACATCTCAGTCACTGCAAACATACTTTAGAAACACATAGAACTAATATTTGTGTGTTTGTTCATATTTATATTTATATTATTTATATGCCACCTTTCTCTCCATAGGGAACCCAAGGCTTCTCACAACAGATAAAACAACAGATTCAAAAACCATATAAATATCAGATTAATCAAGCTTAAAAACAATTTTAAAACATTTACATATCTGTAAATTAAAAACCAGTACTCCTGAGACTACTTCCTGCTTAAAAGCCTGCCTGAAGAGGAAGGTCTTTGCCTGACGACGGAAGGACAAGATGGAGGGGGCCGACCGGGCTTCTTGGGGCAGCGCATTCCAAAGCCACTGAGAAGGCCCTCTCTCATAATAGATAGTACACACCTGCAGCAAAGCATAAACAACCAGCCCTTTAGCATAACAGTTCAAGACATAGACCAGCCATTAAACTGAAAGATGGTTAGTAGAGACCTCTCAAAGATGTTGACATTTTCAATGGCATCTAGCAGTGCCATCTAAATTCAAAAAGTGTGCTGGCTGTATGATGTTTGGAATCCACAGACTCTACTTCTATTGACAGAAGTTCTCTTATGCCAATAGAATTTCTTTCTGATGGCCAACCTCAGCCATCTGCCTGCAGAAGGATCAGCCAGCACCAATGCTGCATTAGCTAAGATGAGCTGGCAAAAGAGCCAATTAGAGGCAGAGAAGGGGAGAGGTGAGAGAGCAGCTGATTTGCACCAGATCGAAACTTCCTCCAGTGCAGAGGTGTTATGCTGGTTTGTTAGTACAAAGATAAGCTAAGGTGAGACTGATTCTAGGTAATTTCCAGCATCTCTAAGCAGGGCAATGGCAGGGAATGGTGGATTCAACATAGTTCCCGCTGGCCTAGTGACAACAGCTCAAATAGTCCTCAGCCATGGCTAGTCTGGATTGTGCAATCTTTTGTTCCCCAAAGGCTGCCCCAGGGAGCAAAGGATATAAGGACAGAGAAAGAGGCCCCACTCACCCCACCAGTCCCTGAGAAAATGTGTGCATTACTTTCCTCCCCAGTACTGGAGCTGTGATGTCGTCATTGACTTCGTTTTCATTTGCATCGGAAACTAGGGCCTGGATGTACTAGTTTTGGTTCCAGTGACTCACAGGGCGGTATATTTTTAAAAAATAAAAAAAATTCTCCCACATAGAAAATTAGCTAAGCTAACTCTCTTGATGTCTTCTTACTGAGGTAGAGAGATTTTTCCACCCTCAGAATCCAAAGTGTTACATACTTAGCTGTATTCTCTCTGTTGTATTCCTGCTTACAGTAGGAATATGGCAGGTGCGTGTTTGTAAATGTATATTTCACCATTGAAATCTGGGAACTTGGTTGGATCTGTGTTCCAAACACGGGTGCAATTTTCAGCTTGCAGACTTGGTGCTATGTTAAGTGACTTGCTCTTCAAGTCTTAGTTTAGATCAAGATTAGTTTGAATACATCTGGCTGCTTCTTCAGCTCACGTTTTTCCTGCCTCAGAAAAGCAAATGGCCAGGTTGACTGGAGGATTCTGGGAGAATGTGGGGGCCAAAGAGGATTCCTATGGGTAGCAAAATCAATGCTTTCAGAGATCCACGTATTATACAGTGGGATTCAAAATCACCTGTTGTTAGGTACTTTATGTCATTTATACCCTGCTGCCTGTTTAACTGTAACGCGCTCTTCCAGAGCTTGGAAAAGTTACTTTTTCAAAATCTCCTAGAGATTTGGGGAACTGTTTTCCAAGAAGGAACTCTTCCAAGCTCCTGGTCTTTTGAGAAGGAATACTGGAGGTGCTCTTTTGTACCCACAGATAGACACCAGCGTTTGTTCTCATTTCAGGTCCGGAGAGTAGTCCTCCTGCCAGTCCTGTCCCAGCCTGTTCCCAGCAACAAGTCATCCAGCACAACACCATCACAACTTCCTCAACAGTCAGCGATGTTGTAGGAAGTTCCACCCTCAGCCAGCTTGCAAGTCACAGAACAGATATGAATCCAATCCTTTAAAATATATCAGTCAGGAACTGCAATGGAAAAACAAAAAGTGATAGAACATCAGATTTCTTTTCTTCTCAAAGCAGTCTCTCTTTTTTTAAAAAAGGTAATCTCAGATCTAAAGGATTCTTCTCCCCATCGCCCCAAAGACCATGAGCTCCATTTTTATAGTTACTAAAATGTCTTTTATATTTAGTAATAATGAAGGGAGTTATGCAATGACTATGCTCTCAGCTTGGGAGATACTTCGGCGTTTTCTCCAGTTTCCTGGTACCAGCTACTTGCTTGCTTGTTTTTAACCAAACTGCTCCTGTACATAGACGTGCTCCTTCTCAGCCCTGCAGGACAACCCAACGGAAACAGATTAAACTGCCAAGACGATGTTCATGACATATTCAACATCCATACAGAGTCCACTAGGCACAATTGGGCTATAAATCCGTGTGGGAAAGGAGATTAACAATGTAATAAGGACATTTATTTTGCAAAAAGACTGGGCTCTCAAGGATGTTCATCAACTTGTGTACTTAAAAAAAATGTTTTGAAAATGCACCCATGTTCTGCAAAGCTACTGTGTGGCAGGGTGCCTGGTTGGTCTTGATCTTCATCAATTGTCCTTTCATTTGAGCTCTTTATCTTCTGTTGTTCCCCATTTGTATAACTTCATTTGGAACTGAATATATTGTGGCATAGGGCTTGAATTCTTGAGAATGGTGGTGTTTTGCCTTCCTATGGCTTCTCTCCCCTCTGCCCTTATTTTGGTAAATGTTATGTTTCCTTAGCCATCCTATTTTCAGGGAAACATTTGAAAGCATGCAGGAGAGAGAGAAAACGTAGGCAGCCATCTATCTCACTCATGTTCTTTTTTTCTACCAGCCTTTCACATATCTGGTTGTTGTTGTTGTTGTTTGCCTAGCCACCATGATGCCCTCGTTCACATGGGACATAAATGCAAAATATGCAGCAGGCACACATTTAAAATGGCATGGTTTTTCAGCTTTGGCGGGTCTCTATGTCTCTGTTCATGTGCTGTTTGACCTTTGCTCTGCTCTCTTTGCCATTTCCCTTTGCAAAGAGAGAGAGAGAGAGAGAGAGAGAGAGAGAGAGAGAAGAAGTATGTCCTCCCCTCAAAATATCTTTATTGTTCTTCACACTTCCTGTCTCTGGCTGCTTGCCCAATTTCTCTGGATTTTTGAGGAACACTAACATTAAAGAAAAGCCTTCAGACCTAACAGCAGTTTGCCCTGAAACAGCTGGCCTGGTCACGGTTTTCAAACAACACTTATTCACAGCTGCCTTGGCTTTTGCTTTTTTCACAAACAAATAACATCTCAACGTGTATACTCTTCGTGATTCTGATTTAGTGTTTTTAATGAATAGTAGAAGTAGAGAGCAGCTAACCACAGGTGAAGCTTCTTTCGAAATCAGCAGTGCTAGGGAGAGAGAGGCTTGTAAGATATATATATTTTTTTGAAGAAATAAAAAACGTGGCACAGAGGAACGGAATTCCTCGTTATGTCAGCAGCTCAGTGTTTTTCAGTTCCATTGCCAGTCAGTAAAGAGGAAGGCATCAACCCTGATCCAGAGGCTTGGGAGCAGAGCAGAAGCCCAGGACACTCCATACATATTCACCCATTGATGAGGATTAACAGTGGTGATGGACTGATAGCTGTATGCCCTTGTTCTAGGCCTCTCAGAGGCATCTGGTAAAACGCTGGATGAGGCAGGTCTCCATTGTGTGGAATTAGGGCTCCCATTAATGCTTTTAAGATCTCTGTTTAAACCAGGATCAAACTGTGATTTTAAACCCAAGTTTATAGTCAAATCATCAAATCAGAGTTCCCTGAATTCAGACATTATGAGGCGCAGAGGCCAGTTAAAAAGCAAAAGCAAATACTGTATGTTTAGTCTCCTCCTGGTGTGTGCAAAAAGAGGCAAGGTGAAAGGGAAATACAATCTTCAGGCTGCCCAAGACAAATACATAGAAGAGAAGATGGTGATTTTCCTCCAGATATCAACCTGGCCACAGAATATGAATCCCACATTTTGAGTCAACATGATCCTCTTTAATCTTGTGTAAAAAGACATCTAGCTTTAATGCACAACAGAACAATAGATCATTTTTAAAATGTGGAATTAAGGAAAAGGATTTAAAGGAGTTAACATTATTTTTTTTAATGAGTTAGACTCTGTTGCTGAACTCACTTGGATTTTTGGCAAAATTAAACTGTCACCTTCTAAATATTTTAAAATAATTTTTAAAATTTCAAAATATTGTTATATTGCTATTTTAAAAATGACAATATAACAATAATAAGCTAAACTGTTTTTCTTAATAAATGTTTTCTGAAGTCAATTGGTATTATAAGTTTGAAAACTCCTACTGATATTTGTCCTGGTATATTATCCTACGTATGGAATCCTGTTGTGACCTCCATACTGTTATTTTAACAGGACCAATACTTTTGGAGGGATGGGATCTTTCTCATTCCATGAATGAGAGGGAAATATATAATCGGGATAAGTATATTCAAGGGTTCAAATTCAACTACCAATAATGAAGATAAAGTCTCATGGAGACCAGCAAAACAAGTTGATGTTGGCTCACTTAAATCCCACTGTTTTCAATGGGATTGCAACCTGTTCTTCTGCTTATTTACTTGAACTTAGTCCAAAGCTTGGAGAATACTTTCTTGAACTACTGGAATCCTGAAGACAACGTGGTTGGAAGATTTTGGGAGTGATGACCCTTGAAAAAAGTAATTTTTCAAATTTGTGAGGAACGTCCTGCTAAGAACAGTGGCTTTTATTCTCAAGTAAGTGTCCACAGGATTGCAGGCAGACAGAATGAATCAAAATACAAATCTGCTTACTAGAATATCTTAGATGGGAGAATTCTGCTTTTCCTGAGGTAAAGAGGCGCCCTGGTGGCTCGGACTGTAGAGGCTGTGCAGGTGTAAATCTGCCATTACCCATGTTTCCCCCAGAGGTGAAACCAAAACAAAAGGACATTTGGGAGCTTGCTTCGAATCTAAACTCTCTTCATTCCATTGAAAAGTCTCATGATCAGGACCTCAACAACTTCAGCCTGGAGCTTATGCTGTCAATTTCTTCAGTACTGAAACTAATGAAGGATTTTTTTTAATGAAGATATTTCCTTGAAAACACTTAAGGCAAACTCTATCCCAGGTCTCAGTAATTGCTAGAGCTTGGAAATATTGCATTAAAATGTAACATGTCACTTTCAATGAGGTTTTTTGGCAGTAGCGACCGCCAAATACTGTAACCACCATCACTCCAAGTAACATAATAGGGCATACATGTTCCTTTCCCTTCACCCTCATCACCAAAACCTTACCTTTTTCCCCATTGTCTTTTGCTAAATCAGACTTCTTGAAACAATAAATCAAGGCTTATTAATTAATTAATGCATCTATTCCAAAGGTCAGATAGGAAGTATTCCCAAAGAATTAATGGGGTAATTTCAAGATGGCCATACAGAACTAGAATACTGTACCTGAGGTGATAGCTTTATACTGTACAAGACAGCGTAAATCACCCTCATAGTTGTTCCAGGAAGGTTCCCAGAGCACTATCAATTTTTTAAAGAAGCTGTACAAGTCATGAGCGGCCTGTATTTTGGTCTGAAGAAAGATGATGGGGGGAGGGTAAGTTTGGGAGAGGTGCCATCTGCACTTCCCACCACAGTACAATTGCAATTTCCCATCATTAGTGGCTGTTATCAAGAAATGTGAACATGTCAAATTATCGGTTTCTATTCTGAGTCATATTTGTGGAACAAAAATGATTTGAGTTCTGAGTTGGATAACAAGTAATGTAATGACTTGTGGGCTAATATTCTAAGCTTTGGTTATTCCAGATCTCAATAGTGAGATCACCCTTGACTTCACTCCTCCCTCTTTCTACTTTAAATATTTCTCTTAGGTTGCAAGTGTATAGCCATTTCTAATTTACAGCCTGAATCCTGTTGGTATCAAGCAGTAGTAAACCAGAAATTGTGCAAGGAACATGCACAATTATGCTAACTGTCTCTTGCATGCCCAGGTTACACACTTAGGGATGCATCTTCAGGCACATGATAGATAAGTCAACAGTGTGATTGCCTTTGCATGCGCCGTGTTTCCTTGTGCAATTTTGGTCTAAATATTTAGTTGTTGAATAGTCCAGAACAGCAAAGAAGGAAATGTGTCCTCTACAACTAAGCTTTTTTAAAAAACAACGAAGATAACAATAACACTGGAGCCCAAAGAAAGGATGGGGAATCCCTGGCCATCTTGATGTTGTTAGATTATAGTTCCCATGGCTCTAATCACTGGCCATAATGGTTAATAGGCTAATGAAGGTTGGGAGTCCAACAATATCTGGATGGCCACAATTTCTCTACCCTGACCTAAGCCAATTTATTTGTGCTTATCACAGTTTCTGCAAACAGGAAGAATACATCTAACTGTCTTACTCTCCCCAGCTCCATACAGAGATTCCTCCATGATACAGCAAATGATACTTCACATTTCATGGTAATCTTATGGTAACAGAAATACT